GGAAACTTAAAAAGTGTTGACTAGTGAAGCAAAGATATTAATCGTGATATATACATAAAAACACAAAATTGACACTAAAACTGGATGAACTAGAATTTTTCGGCCCATCAAGTCGTAGACATTTCTGTTCAGCATCACAACTGTCCTTGTTGCTCTTTTTTTTTACAATATATCGATGAAACTATATTAAGCTCGATTTTCCTTTGCAGGATGCATGGTAATTCGGAAACTGAATAATTACAAAACTCATATGTGGCAGATTTCGTGCCCTGAATTTTATCTTTGCCCATTCATGCAGTTTCAGTAAAAAATCTGATGAACTGTGGCAGATGCATTTCACATCTCGAGTCAAGTAAGGACCATTGGCAACAATTTCGTCTACAGTTTCAGGAATCACAGTTCCAAATGTCCGCCTCTGACAAATAGTAATTTATGAAAAGATTTTGACTTCGGATGAGTGGTATTAATAATTTCCCTTACAAAATTCCATTGCTGGTCTTAAAAACACTGAAAAAAGCTTGAAGATGGCTGCTGGAGATTTAGTATTAAGCATCCGAAATTATTCTCAATCGGCGAAAGGTATGGATAAATGAAATGTGTTACAGGATGGTCCAGAAACAACAGCAGCTGGGCTATAATGCATTTTCTCCGGATTCTTCCAGCTATGCTGCATTTTCTTCGGATGCCAGGACTTTCGAGTGCACAACGACGAACGAAATTGCCCAGCGAAAATTGATCAACAGGCATTTCATTGCTTTGGTCCACCGTTCCTCCGAGTTGAACTGCATCTTTACCGAATACTCCATCTTGTTATCTTCAATCCTGTCTCTGTACATGCGATGAGGGAAACGAAACTGAAATCAATCACTCAAATTACGAGGAACTCTAATATCGTTCTTACAGTTAACTGCATGTTTTTTGCTGTACAAGTTATAACAGAGATACTAATTACGACATATACGAAAACACAAAATTATATTTTAAAAAAGCTCAGATGAACAGGAACTGGAATTAAATTCAAAATCAACGGCCCGGTTAATATCATATTGAGGGGATGAGGAAAATACTCTTAAGATTTCAATATTTTAGTTATCCAGATTCTCGTGTTAGCAACTTATCCGCAAAAAATTCTCACGGCCTCATACGTGGGAACTACGTGAGCAAGAAAGTCCATTTTGGAAAAAACGACCCCTACATGCACATAAATTAAGTTCTCGAATTTTCAGCCTTGTAGCTCTTGTAGATTTAGAGATGAAAAATCAGTGCAGACGAACATACGGACACACACACACACACACACACACACACACACACACACAGACAGACAAACCCTTGTCAATATGCGTTTTCTGCATTGCATAGCTGGAAAAAAATACTTAAAAATGATCACCTCGCCGCGTTCGATACGTTTCTGTAACTGGCAGAAGCAATCCATGAATGCACATATGCCTTCATCGAGCTTTTTCTGACCAAACGGTTTGAAGCCACCGCTGCCAAACAACGGTAAGTCCACATCGCTGTCAATGCATTGCACAAATGAGTAACTGCCCATCGGTACAATACGGTAGACGGAAAAATGAAAATCATCCAGACAATCGCCCAAAGTCTAAAAATATTTTTCCTTCGTTTTCATGAAAATTAAAGTCGCTACGATTGATTGGATATGGATTCCCTGGTTAGAGATGTTCTAGGATGTATTTACATACATACAACAGTTACTTCAGGCCCTTCAATTCCGAGCAATAAGTCGATATTTGCCATTTTTTGACTTATTTGACGTATTTGGAAGCCATCCGAGTGGTTGTTTTCTTTTTTCATCAAATCATGTCAATTAGCTACCAACAAGGCAAGCAACGTGTTGCGTCATCAGCTGCTTCTATTTCTCAGGTAACTGTAATGTCGGCTTACGTACAACTCATCTGATGAAGAATCTGATCGGTTATACAATTTCCATATGGTCAAAAGACAAATCTCATCATGTTTCGCTCTGTGAAAGCCAGAAGCACTCGGAAGTAAACCCAAAAATAACATCAGTCATTCGCTGGCAAGGCTGTCGGCCGCCCAATCTCTCAAGGATTTCTTATAAGCAAGCTGATGACTGTAATTTTACTGGTAAATATTTGACTAGAAGGCAAAAATGTTAAATCACGTAACTTCAAAATTTGCAAAAAAACCCAAAAAATATGGCAAAATTCGTGTCTCATAATAATTTTATTATAATAATGTTATGATAATCATAATTTTATTAATATAACTTTATTAAAACAACCACTAATTTTACTAATTTCTTAATTCTTATTTCGGAATTTCCTCTTCGACTCTCCTTCTTATTTCAATATTTCTTTCTGTTACCTGATTTACGAATATTTACAGGTCTTTTGAAATCTTCGTGTCTTATCTGGTCTACGATAATTATAAACCTTTTGAAGTTTTATCAAAGAACTTATCAGAACATATTTTGGTCTGAGTTCAAGAGCGAACAAAAATTCATACGACTTAATGGACCGAAACATTTCTTACCACTAAATAATTCTATTAAATAGTTATAATAATTTACAAAATTTTTTGATTCTCATCCCCTACCTTCCTTTTTGATTTTTCTTATTTCATTCGTTGTTAATATTCCTTTCTGTTATAACTTACATTGAGCAGCAAAGCCAACTGCCCCCAGGCAGCATTGATTTCGTTCCATTCCACCTGCGAATGTGGTAGTTGGCCAAGACGAAAGCCATTTATGGTACCGAAGCAGCCCTGCTGCCAGATATGGAATGCCGTGTTTAAAACATTGATTTTGGACAGCTTATCGAGTCGTACTTTTAAACAACGCAGGCTTGCTTCCGCGTCTCGCTTTTCCACTTCCTTCTTGAGCAACAGTCTGAATTGGCAATTCGGCAAGCATTACTCACATATTGTTAAAAAAGTCCACTAAAATAACAGGAAGCGTGGCATTCCGCAATGTTATAGGAAAATTTCCATAACTGTGAACGCTTGAAGTGCGCGTTTCTTAAGAAAACCAGGGAAAACTCAAATATCGACGAGAAGAAATTTAATCACAAGAAAAAAAACGAATTCTACTCAAATACTAACAATATGTATCACATTTCTGAGTACAAAATCGCAGAAATGCACAAATCATGATAAAAATGTAAAACCGAAAAAAGCAGTAACGACGAAATAGAAGGCCAAGTCCTACCAAACCTGGGATTTCCACGCCGCAATAGTCATGAAAACCTCCTCGTATTAACTTGAAAATTTCTACAATGCAGCCGTCGAAAACTTAGTTTTACTTTTCTTTTTAGTGCTATGAAAATTAACTTCCTATAATGTCATTTAGCACTTACCCTCATTTTCTTCCCTTCCTTCATCTTCCTCCGGTAATCAACATTTTACTTTTAACATGGCAAAATGGGGCACTGTACTGATGATTCCCACCGCATTTCGCACCGATTCTGCTGCCTGTGTTTACAGCTCAGGGATGAAACACAGACAGATTACCAGGTCACTGTATATACAGGCTTGCTTATTTGGGAGATTTAAATGGCATTTCCAGTTTTTCATTAATTGTCAAAATTCGATTGTGTTCTTCTCCACCGTAGGCCAACAGCCCCAAACAAATTGCATATTTTTACACATAGAAGATTTCAGGCCCCCATTCTCTTTCACCCTCTTAGAGAGGGATATTCATTGTTTATATCTTTAAAAGCTTACATTTCCCCTTGCAGGCGCTGTTTGACAAGAATATTCCTTCTGAGCAATACATTGATTAAAATTCAATTTCTTAATATTATTTGATTTGTTTTTTTCCAACTTTAACATATTTTTCTATTAAAAGTTATAGTTAAGAATTACGAATAACCTGTGGTTATCGCGAAAAGTCTTCCATAGTATGCTGGTGCATTGTTTTTCAACAGCACACAATTCGCGTTTTCTTTTGTTCAGCTCTTTGTCCAGTTTTGCCTCCTCAGCTTCGAGTTTCTTGGATTCGGCCAGCAGCGATGCTTCCTCATTCTAAAACACAAAAAAAAAGGTGAAACTAATCCAAACAGCTTGCATAATTATTCACAACCAGCAATCTTCCTTGATTTATGGCGAGTTCGCCATGCCAATCGATAAGCTTAGAACAACAAAATGTACAGTCCAACAACATAAAAAAAAAAGAAAAACTGAAGCACTGATTACAAACGGCAGAAGATGGACACCGATGGGAGCAATGAAAAGTGTTTCAGAAATTTTAAAAATACAAACAACGAATATCTCTGGCTAGGAGCTGTTGGAAGAGAACTGAAAAGGGACTGAAATCTTCTATGTGTTAATATATGCAGTTTGTTTGGCGTTGTTGGGCCACCGTGGAGAGGGGAACACAATCGAATTTTGATAATTAATGATTATACTAATAATTAATGATAATTGATCAAATTAATAATGATAAGTTAATGGAAGCGCCAAAACTTTGAAGGTTTTTTCAGCATACCAACGGGCCCAATAAACACATTTTTGACGAAATTAAAAAAAAAATTCCTCGTTATAAAAATGAAAATGCAATACTATGTAATCGTTAAATAGAATTAACTGCTTGCTGCATAAGAAGTATTAACTGGAGGCGGTATATCTCCAAATAAATAGCAACGCGCACCAGAATAGCCGGTGCGATATGCGTTTTGTGCAATTCAGCCCATCGAACGATTGCCAATTAATGATTCTCACTGCTTTTTACTTTAGTCTATACAAAAATAGTTCAAACATTGGAAAATAGTTAGAAATTTCACGTACCAGCGCATGAAAGCTGAATTCGAAACCTTGAAAGATGAATATCTTTTCACGACTCCCGAGTTAATAGTTTACCCGCCAAAATCTTCACGAGGCCGTATGTGACACTCGAGAGCGCGGGAACGCTTAATTTGAATAGGCAAAGTTAAGCGTGGGCACGGGGTCATTACCCTAAAATTTCAGCCTCCTAGACTCCGTGGTCCTCGAGATATTAACTTGCCCGTGAAAAACTTTCACGGGGCCGTACGTGTTACCCGTGGGTAAGGGAAGGCTGAATTTGAATTTGCCGCGTCACCCGTTGTTGGGGAACACTATACCAAAATTTCAGCCGCCTAGCTTTTGTGGTTCCCGAGTTAAAAGTGCGGGACAAAATGTGGGACACACACACACACAGACAACCCCGTGACAATATGCGTTTTGTAACGCTGTTACACAACACAAAACGCATAACAAGGTACCGTGAACGCAACGAGGCCTAAAAGGCTTTTTTAGGGCAATTCACGCAAGTTTAGCTGAGCTGGTGGTATGGCACAAATATGGACAAAGTGGATTATTAAACGGTACCCACGCAATGTTAACTGAATAATAAAAGACCAGCGAAATGGAGGGAACCATACAGCGATTGCATGAATTTACGTAGATCCTCAAAATAAAGAAAAGTAAAGTTGTTGGGGCTTGAACTGATCCCTCTGTGCGATTCGTTCATTCGTTTCGATGATAAATTGGTACTAGCATGAGCCAGGGTGCTAAACCCGGCATCAGCATTTGCTTATATAGAGCTCTCGAAAAAGGGAGCCATCAATAGCTTTGCCAGTGAATGACTGCTGCTGTTGGCATTTGTTACCATTCCTGTTGCTTCACGGGTCCCATCGCCTCTCACTGACACAGCTAATACGAGATTTTTCAGTAGCATCGATGATTTTTCTTCAATTTTTTGTTAACTTTTTAATTTTTTTTATTGACTTTTTTGATTTTTTTAAATTGATTTTTTTAAATTCACAACAGTATCGATGAGAAAAGGGAAATAACGATAAAATAGCTGTTGTTCAAGGTATCAAGAACAAAAATTGTGCTCGAAAAAAATGACCTTCATTGAGGAAAGTTTTGCTCGCAACGCAGTTTTATCCAAAAACGAAGTATCCGGTCGTTCTTTCAGCGAACGCATCAAGCTGTTGTACTGGGCGCATTCTTCATCCAACTCTTGCAAATGCTGATCCATGCCAGAAAGCAAGCGCTCCGTACAAACCTTCAAATTTTTGAAGTAAATTTATTTCTTATTTTTGTATTAAATTAAAACTTTAAAATTGAAGTAAATTTATTTCTTATTTTCGTACTGAATGAATGAATACAGTGATTCCCCGCATGGCTACAGAGGATTTCCAGTTTGGATTTGTGATCGATGATCTTTGGGATAATAAGTAACGGCTATTAGAAGCCGAAATATGAGTGGACGGTCCAAGTGCAGCAGTCGGAGTGGGTTAAAATGATAAATAATTTAAGGCCTTTGGTAGGTCAGACTGTAATTTTTCAAGTAATCGGCCAGTCTAAATCGTGGAAAATATGGAATGGCTGTAATTCATGAATTTTAATATAGGGTGGAAATAGAGAAGAGATTATGGAGGGAAGAGTAGGGCTGCTAATACGTTACGACCGGTATAAAATGTTGAAAAGTCATGTAAAGAGGAATATGTAGAAGTTCTGCAAAAGATTAACTTCAACCACAACTCATTCTAACACAGTGGCTATTACACTATAAACACAGAGTTAAAAGACCATGCAAAAAGTGGGAAGGACATAATAAATTTGCAATTTTACTCTCAATAACAGGAGATGGAAGTGGAGAAAAGAAAGCAAAACTACAAGCAGGAAAAACCATCCTGTGATATGGCTCCAGCTATAACAATCATGAATATAGGAGAATCCAACGGTGGACGGCAAAGGGTCTTCGCTCCTTCCCCCCCCCCCCCCCCCCCCCCCCCCCCCCCC